GTGTAACTGCCTCGAGGGTGCTTGACCATTTTAACACAACGTGGTGCGATCATCCCCCTTGCGCGGAGCGAGGGTTCTCCACCCCGCACAACATGATCTACTCTACCACCAGTATGGTTACCGCCATAAAAAAAAACGGAGGTGAAAAAAATTAACGGTAACCTGGTTGCCGAGTGCACGAAGTGAATTGGCTTGTTTTACAACGTCGTTGCCAAGCGACGAAAACCCAATCCCAATGGCAAACACCGAGGGAGGGGGATGTTGACAGAGGGGGGGGGATTAAGCGACCGTAAGCGACATGAAAGCGCCACGAGGTTGTCGCGCGCGATCCGAACGCGTTTCCATGTACACCATAGAGCACGAAACAAAACAGCAGCGGCTACAGCAACAGCATCAACAGCATCTCCAGCAGCGTCATCGAACAACAGCAGCAGTGTCGTCGAATCACCATCGCGGAACGAGCCAAGCACAAGCCAGTGGAGAACCCGTTCGAACAAATAATTCATTATTCGCCGTCGCGACCACACAACCTGACTCCCACAAGCTAGCTAGTACAGATCTTGCCGCGGGTGGAAAATCTTTATCTGCTACGCGTGTATCGATAGGGTGTGGGGGCAGAGGTGCATAGTATCGTTGGACGCAGCAATCAGGGCTACACCCAATCTCTTACACCTGCCTACGCTACAGTCAGCCTCAGCCACTCTTCAAATGACAACCATCAGCTTACGAATCGGTTCGTCATATCTCAAATGCCGCGAGGAACTGCTGTTGTGTTCATCATGTCTACGGTCATTCTCTACCCGCTCATGAGGCGACATCAATCTTGGGGAGGGCGGACGGGAAGGCAGGACTTGTCACGAAAGGCCGCAAAAGAACAGCAACAGCTGGGCCGGCGGCAGGGCAGCTGCGAGACTACCTACACACGCGTCAAGGCTCCAAACAAGACGCACGCGAAAGCCCCGGAGTGATTTTTTTACCTGTACCCCCTGATGGTGCAGAAAACTCCGCGGGGCCCCACCGGTGTTTCACCAAAAACGTTGATCTTCGCCGCCCTCTGTGAGAGATTCTTGACCGCCTGCCCCCCGAAGCGGGCGTTGGTGGGAAAGACAATGACCTTCTTCGCAAGGGCATGACGCTTGTTGTACAGAGCCCGTGCCTCCGCCAGCTGAATTGTTGTTGTTGTCGTTCGTGGTTTCATATAACAAAAAAAAACGTGCATACATTGATGAGGACACATTTCGTCAGGCGCTCGTGTGGATGGGAAGTGTACCATCTAGGAAGAAGCGTACGATTCACGCGGACACATCCTCGCAGTACCCCTGTCGCTTTTTCTTCGTCAAAACGAAGCTAGCTACCGTAGCCGGAAATGAAAAAAAAGGAAATCAAGCACGAACCGCAACAACAGCGGTACAGCAGCAGGCCAAGAGTATCTAGCAAGTTTCAAGTGAAGTGAAGTGGTTGTACCCACCTCATCCGGATCGAAGTGCTCACTGTCGCCGTCCTCATACTTGATGAGCCAAAGGTCGCCGTGCTCATCGTCACTCTCCGGTGGCAAGTAACTCGACACCTGAAACAAACATACAAAACAAGAAACATCAATCAAGGACGACACGTGAACTAAACAATTGCGGTGGCAAGTCACTCGGCACTAGGAACAAATAAGCAAACCAAACAGACAGACAACAGTCAAGCAGGACACCTGAAACAATAAAAAACGTGGACATCTAATACAAAAGAAAATCAAGGTGGCAAGCAACTCGGCACTCGGAACAAATAAGCAAACGAAACGAAACAAACAAAAACAGTCAATCAATGCGGCCAGAAACTCTATACCCGAAACAAGCAAACATCAAAACAAACGCACGGTGAACACCGTTGCCGTGCACATAGCCACCACAACAAATACTCAAATCTTGCTGCGGCGGAGGTTGTGATGTTTGTCGTGTGTGGTGTTTTACTTCCAGGAAGGAGTTTTATTTTTGCTATAGGCCGAACATGAGACAGGTTCATTGTGTCACGTGTGGCGTGGAGAATACACCTAAGGTCAATCATCCTCTCGTGAGCAGACCGGCGTGCGTACAGTGTGGGTTGTGCGTGTGAGAGAGAGAGAAGGCAGCTACACCGCTTTTCTTGTGCGCGGGTTCGGCGTGTAGCGCTGGCTCTATCCTGTGACAACAAAAAGCAAGGGCTTGCTTTCACAGCACTATAAAGCACTCGTAAATTCTGACGTGTCAGATGAACTGGCGGAGATCTACGTTCGGTATTTGTTGTCACAGGATAGAGCCAGCGCTACACGCCGAACCCGCGCACAAGAAAAGCGGTGTAGCTGCCTTCTCTCTCTC